GCAGGAGCAGGAGCAGGAGCAGGAGCAGGAAGAAGCAGCAGCAGCAGAGCAGCAGCAGCAGCAGCAGGAGCAGGAGGAGCAGGAGCAGGAGCAGGAGCAGGAGCAGGAGCAGGAGCAGGAGCAGGAAGTTTTCGACTTCAACGACTGAAGTTTCCCATCAGGCTGGATGCAGGAGAAGGGGTTCAGGATCTTGTCATTTCTATCGGAAACATCCTCAGCTTCTTGCACCTGAACAAGATGTGCCTCATGTCTTTCAGGTCCCCATGACATTGCACTTTAACAAGACTTGCTTCTTTGGTGTTGTTGTATGTCCTGCTGGTGGTGGTGGTGGTGGTCATCATCGTCATCATAATCATCATCATCGTCATCGTTATCGTCATCATCATGACAACGACACAAACTGATGTCAAAGATGCAGCTATGGTGAGTTTGTGCAGCTTTCCGACAAGACGTGGAGGGCGCAGGATCTATCGTTTTCACTCCCTCAAGGTAATCAGCCTCTTTTCTCTCATGTTGCAACTCCTAAACTCTCAGACATGATGGTGTGCTTTACACACGATTTCTTGTTCTTAACATATCAAATCATGTCCTCGACATTTCAAATCTTGTCCTCAACTTTTCACCTGCTCACAAGAAAACTTGTCTCTCAGGGACCACTCTCGCCACGTGCCCACCAGACATCATCGACCATCTTCAAACGCTGCACGTCCCCGAGGTGATGAAAGCGTTTCATGTCGGAGCTCTTGGACGAGAAGGGTACAAGACAGGAGGCGACGCGATCGTTGCCCTCCCTTCCATCGACATGTTCTGCTTCGGGCTTTTCCTCTTCCACGCTGTGACAGGTCGGCCAACAGGGAAGAAGGAAAGGGAGCGGAGAGGGGGGCGAGGAGAGGAGAGGAGGAAGGAGAGGGGAAGGGAGGGGAGGAGAGGGGAGCGGGGAAGGGGAGGGCAAAGGGAAAACGAGGGGAAAGGAAGAGAGGAGAAGGGGAAGGGGAAGGGAAGGGGGAAGGGGGAGGAGGGAAGGGGGGTCAAGCGCAAGAGCTGAACTGTCGCTTGAATCTGCAGGTTCTCCTCTCTTCGCGTCCTGGCAGGAAGCCCACAGGGAACTCGCGCTGAAGAGCTCGGACCTCCAGCCTCCATCGACCAGCTCCGAAGATATTGTCGTCAGCTTCCTCTTCCGCAAGTGATGCTCGTCCCTCCCTCCTTCCTTCCTCCTCTCCTCTCTCTTCTTTCTGTGCTCTCTGTCTCTCTCTCTGTCTCTCTCTCTGTCTCTGTCTTCTCTCTGTCTCTGTCTCTGTCTCTCTCTGTCTCCCTCCCCCCTCCTTGTTTCTTTTTGGGGGGCGTATCTC